CCGCACGCGGTGCTCTAGGATGTGCAGCTCCATCGCGGTCCCGCGGACCCGACCCCTCCGCGGCCAGACCCGGGCCACGCCGAGGACGGGGCGGGGGCGGGGCCGGGGGCTTAAAGGAGCCGCTGCTCACGCCAGTCCACGCCGGCCACCAGGCCTAAGACCCGCCCAGCCCCGCGCCGCGCCGGCTACGCCCTGCGAGGAGCGCGGCCTATCAGAGGAGGCCACGCCCCCCCTTACCAACAGAGTCCCGCATCCACCCCATTAACATTGGCTTAGGGATCGCCAGCTGACCCCGCCCCGTCATCCTTCAGACCCCGCCCAGGCCGCGCCTCTTCTCGGAGCTCCACCCTTTCTGCAAGATGCGGGTGGATCCTAGTTGCGAAGCCTGCAGGAAACGTGGGGTCCTTTCGGTCCTTCAGGCCCTCATGCGGGTCCTCTGATTGTCATTGAGGCGCTACCTCCAAAACCCTGAGCGTGGAGGGGGAGGGGTCCACTCGGCAGCCCCAGGAACCCTACGATTCTCGCCCAACAAAGTATCCTGGCACCTTTCTTCCTCCTTCCTCTCGGGGGATCCGTCTCCCCACCAGGGTCGCAGAGATAGTCAGGGTCCCACCCACCTCTGTCCTACTCCTGGGTAGGGTGCTGAAGGCAGCCAGGGGTAAGGAGGCCCCTCAAGACCGAGGCCAGTAATGCCCAAGGCTCAGACTTCCGAGGACGGGCCCAGGCATGGGAGCTCCCTGGGTAGTGTTCTCAGACCTGAGGCTTTAGCCTTGCTGAGCCTCCCTAAGCCAGCAGCCATGAGACGAAACCCCCAGCCTGAGCATATCTAAACTTGCTTTGTGCCCAAGGAGGCCCCCGGCACTGGCAGATGCCCCAGATCTGAGGCTTTAGAACCCACTTGGGCTCTTTTTGACATTAGGACTGGGTTCTGCTCAGGCCTCCTCGGGTCTAAGAAGACCCCAAGGCTGAGCAGGCATCAGCCCACCCAGGCTGGCCCAGTAGCAGGACTACGCATGCTCTGGGGGGCCCTTGTCTGGCTCAAGCACCTTCAGGCCTCAGATCTGAGGCTTTGAACCAAGCAGGTTAAAGCAGGCCTGCACAGGCCTCCTGCCTGCTTGGGAGCCTCCACTGTAGGCGGATGAAGTGGCCCAGTGCCTCCCCTCCCTGGACTCTCTGGCTCAGTGGGTTCCTGTGGAACACTGTGCAGCCACCACATCCTGGCCTGTCCCCTAGAGGGTCAGGGGGAGGGGACTGTCCTCCAAGGCTGAACCCCTCTTCTCACCAGAGCGGTGGGAAAACCACAGGTGTGAGGGTTGGGAAGCAGGAAGTGATGGCCTGCCCTGACAGGCTCATGTGACCCTTGACCTCCCCAGGCCTCAGTATACCCAGCTGTACCAGAACAAGATGTTCCAGACTAAAGCCCCGAGGTGCCTGAAAGCTCCGAGGGAGGCTCTACCCCTCCCTCTCGCGCCCGCTCCCTCCATAGCCCAGCCTCGCCTGGTGGCCTGCCAAGAACAACCGCTATTGTTTGACTGGAAAAGCTGCTTCCTCAGCAGAAGGGGGGCCTCTCCCAGGGACACCCTGTCCGTAACCTCAACAGTCATCAGGTTGTGACCATAGAGCCTGCCTGGGCCCTCCATGGCAGTCAGGTCATCTGGCACCCTGGCCAGGAGAGGTAGCTGAGGGGCTCTGGGTGCAAACTGGGACCAGCTTACCTCTCACTCAGCTCTGTTGCCTCATCTGTCAAAAGGAGATACTAGAGCTACCTGATAATCAGCTGGTGACGCACCCAACCCAGCGCGGACCATGCTAAGTGCTCAGTAAGCGACAGGTGGCCTGTTATTAAAGACCCAGCCTCCCCCCGCGCCCCCCCCATCAATGGAAACCTGGGCTGTAAATGTAAGGGCATTCATGGTCTCCCACCTATGGTGCCAGCAGCCAACCCAGAATGAACACTCAACCTTTCTCAGTTGGTTAGAGCGTCGCCAATACACCAAGGTTGTGGTTTCCATCCCCAGTTGGGCACATACAACAATCAACCAATCAATGCATAAATAAGTGGAACAACAAAATACTTCTCTCTCTCCCAAATCAATAAAAAAAAAAAAAAAAAAGAACCTTATTCAGGTCCAAAAGTAGCATCCAGGCCAGGCCTTAAGGAGAATACCCTAAAAGGATCTTAGGAACTCCACTCCATCAGTGATGCGCAGGAATCAAGGCCTGGGGAGTATGCTCGCTCTGCCCTAGCACTGGGCTCCAGCCCTGGTGACTCTCACCCATGGCAGATGGTGGACAAGGGGCTGAGGGATGGAGTAAGGGAAATGAGGACCCGGAACAGGGGCTGGCCCTGGTCTTGGCATCCCCTCTGGCAAGGCACTTCTCAGAGAGGCTCTGGTGCTTGGCTGAGGCCCAGATGTGGGCTCGGTAGGAAGTGGGAGAGATGCTGAGCACCAGGGGTGGGGGCACCCCCTTGCCCAGCCCTTAGCTGCACACCAGCTCTCTATACAAACCTGTTTATTTCTGTACAAAACCATGTTTCTATTTTACACAGAGTACCCCACCCTGCACCCCACTCTCCCCCCTCATCAGTGCCCTAGCCCTGGGGAGCATCCCCCCAGAAGGAGAGGCCTGAGTGAGGCCCTCACTTCTGCCTGCCCCAGCTGGATCGGCCCGAGCTCCACTCTCGAGAAAATAAATAAGGAGGCTTGGGCAGAACCTGTACTGGGCCAGCCAGGCTCTCTGCACCCAGTAGCCAGGCAGCCAGACCCTCAGAGGGTGGGCAGGCCCTGGAGTGTGTCAGTCTGTGAACCATGTAGGTGTGTGGAGACCCCGCCCTGGAGGCCTGAGATGCCAGGGTTACAAGTAGGTGTCCTCACTCTCCTGGGACACCAGGCTCTCCTGGGAGCAGTGGTGGGCTGAAACCTGGGGAGCTGAGTCCTGAGGGGATGGGTCCTGGGGGACTGGGTCCTTCGGGGGCACATCCTGTGGAGGACATGCATCTCCGCCAGCGATCGCCATCTTGGCTTGACCTGGCGTTGGGGTCTTGTCCAGCTGCCCACTCGCCTTCTGCTTCTGCTGCTCCTTCGGAATCTGCTTGGGTGGCTTGGGCTTGCTTTTGGAGCCAGGGAGCGGGGCATCTGGGGGCAGACGGATGGACGGTGACGGTTGCAGGCTGGGCCGGGGGCCTGGTTCTGCCTCCAGGATGGCCTTGGCACCATGCAGCCTGGGCGGCGAGCAGCACTGCAGTTCACCGCGGGTCTCCTGCCAGCGCCGTAGTTGGATGAGGTGCTCACGCTCGATCTGGCGCTCTGTCACTGGCAACTCGATCACCTGTGGGAGCAGTGACAGGCCGGTGGGCACCAGGAAGAACCTTCCCCTGGGCCTTCCAGCCTGGGTCCCGGCTCTGCCTTGGAGTCCCCCAGTCTGGTCACTACAGGCTGACCACAGGAAGAATGAAGATCTGGCCCCTCTGATGGTCACAAGTCCCCTAGTGGTGGTGACAGGCACTTGAGACCCGCTGCCCACAACTCATGACTCCACTCGCCTAATTATGTGTCAGCTAATTATAGCCCCTGAGAGAGAAAAATCCACAAAAGAGAGAAAAAAGGGAAATTAAAGCCAAGTTGTGGATGTGGTACCAGAGGAAGAAAGGTGATGGGTTGCAGCTCTTGTCATTCCCAAGAGGTCCAGAACGGGAAGGCTCCCAGACTGAGGCCTCTCTGTGCCCCTCTTCTCATTCAGATAGAAGGATGAGCTCTACCGCACCTTGCTGGACTGCTGGGCACTGAGCTTGGTACCAATGACCCACCCTCAGGGGCAGAGGGCCCGCACGGCTTCCCCTCCAAGTGGTGAGGGGAAGGTGTGGCCCGCACCTCCTGGACCAGAAAGGCCTCCTGCATGATCTTGGGGCTGAGGCTGCGCAGCCGCTCGATAGTCTCGTACTGGCCCTGGCAGGCCTTGAGCTTCTCCGGGGATCCCAGCGCATGCTTCAGCAGCACCAGGCCCACCCGGAAGATGATCTTGACTCCTGTAAGGGGGAGCAGGTAGTGAGTGCAAGAGGCCTTTAGGGAGTTTCTGAAAACAGAGATCCCCTGTGGGCTGGATTGGGGGCAGGAGTACTCCCAGAGCTCAACCTGATACCTTCGCAGAAGAACATGTCCCAGACGCGCAGCACCGAGCTCCAGGGCAGCGTGCGGGCGAAGGCACACATGAACCACTCCGTCATGTAGAGCAGGGGGTCGATCTTCTGCCGGCTGAGGTGCTTGTGGGCCACAGGCGACACCTTCTGCAGCAGAGAGAAGAGGATCTCCCCATCCAGCTGGATTGCCTCCTGGGGGAACAGTGAGACCATGACTATGGGCCAGCATCAGCCAGGGCAGGGACTACACCAGGCCCCAGCACCAGGCAAGCATGCATTCATTCCTCAGGTGGCTACTCCTACAGGGAGCCAGCCTCATGCTGGATTCTGGGATACAATCATCAGCCAACAGACAGCCAGTCCCCCAGGTGAGCATGTAGTGAAGACATGAGTCACAGGAGCAAACAGACGGGGAGTGGGAGGGGGACCGAGTGCCTAGAACATGGCAGGAACAGGAACCCTGGGTGAGCATGTGCCACAGCCCCTCTTGTAAGGGTCAAGGAAAGCTCCCGAGGGCAGAAAGGAGTTGTTGTCAGAAGAAGGCAGGGAAGGAAAGGGACGGGGTGAGGCCTGTGCCAAGGCCAAGGCAGGGAGGCACATGGCGCACTGGAGGAACCATGAGCCTGCAGTGGCCAGACAGCTGAAGGCTGGGATGGAAACAAGTGGAACCGATGCTGGCGCCTGGGAGGCCTGGCCCTTGCAGGCCCGGGGACTTAGTTTGAAAGCAACAGAAGGCTGAGAAGGTGTCGAGCAGGGGCAGGAGTGCCTGCAGAGAGAAAGGCTTGGAGACAGGTCCTGGGCCCAGCAAACACTCACCAGTTTCTCGCTGTAGTAGCCGGGCAGGTACTTCTCACAGATCTGCACCAGGCACCAGAACGCTTGCTGTGGGTGACAGAGACATAAGGCCTTGCTGCTGGGTGTTCCCTGCCCGCCCGCTTGCCTGCCCGGGGCCTGGTGGTACCTCAGCAGGCATGTGCATGAGCAGAACAGCGGCAATGGGTGCCTGGGCCTGGCAGTAGCCCTCCTCAGGTCGGTACAGCGTGTAGGCCTTCAGCACACGGAATAGGTCCTGCTGGCTGTAGAAATGCCAAGCATTGCAGGAATAGCAGGTGTGACTCTGCCACCACTGCCCTCATCTGTGCCGCACTAGACCAGACCTGTCTCAGAATTTGTACTTCTCTTGAGAGGGGATGTGACCTGGTTGTGGTCACGAAGGGGTCAGTCTCCCATTGCAGCACACAAACTCTCACGTGGCCAGAGGATGGAGGAAGAAAGGGGCTTCCCCACTTGACAGGTGAGAGCAGAGCCTCAAGGAGAAAGCAGAGGCACCTCAGCCAGCCCACCTTTATCCCAGGGGTCTGTCTCGGTCCCCTGGCCTGCCACCTCTCTCCCTACAGACCCCTGTTCACCCCACTGTCTCTCACACCCTTTCTCCCCACTGAAACCTGTTTCCAGGGGATGATCAGGCCGGGCAAGTTCTAACACTCTGAGGATTAAATGATGAAAACTGCCCCAGAGGTAAGAGATGCTAAGAGGACCATCAGACTCAAACCAAAGACGGAAAACTCTAAAGTATAGTTTTAGTTCCTGGGCCCCACAATACCCCCAAACTCATTTGACCTTCTCTGGCTCCTGAGGGACAGGGCCTAAAGCCGCTACCAGACCACCACACCCAGCCTGCTCACCCATGCCCGCCCCGGGACACAAACATCTCGTGGAAAGGGAACTGCCGGTGCAGGTCACGCTCAATCACGTCCAGCCACTTGGAGTCCCCCGGGGCCATATCCAGCTCCTGGAAGCAAGGTCAAGGGGATACATTAGGAGTTAGGAGAGCTAGGGTGATACAACTGTCCTAAATATTGGAGGAGCCCCGCGCCAGGAGCAAGGCCACCCAATCCCATCATGGACTGGGCCTTCCTGAGGGTAGGTCAGGAAGCCCAAATGAAAAAGCCTGGGAAGGGCAAAGAGGCAAGGGTGGGGAAGGACCTGGAAACCTGAGGGGTGATTCTGGCTCCAGGAAGACCTTGTGGGTAAGAATGTCCATCATAGCTGTAGCTGGAAGCAACGTCTAGGAATTTCACTCAGGACTCACGTTACGTCACATCCTTAAGATGGAAGGCTACCATAAAGGTCCTAGCATCAGACTGTTCACAGATGAGGGCCAGAGAACAGCCATTTGTCCAGGCTTTGTGATTAGAAAAATGGTGGAGTTGCGTTGGGCCTGGAAGCTAGGTTGACTCAGAGCTGTCAATCCCAACTCTTCTGCTACCTGTCTCCCTGTAGGGAAGGTGGTGTGTGTGTGTGTGTGTGTGTGTGTGTGTGTATGTGTGTGTGTATAAGAGAGAGAGAGAGAGAGACAGAGAGAGAGAGAGACAGAGAGAGGAGGAAGATCGGAGCTGATCAAAATGGCTTCCTCTTTGTTTTGGTCAGGAATCCCCATCTCTCTTCTGCTCTCCCTAACTCTGAGCTCCCACAATCAGGAGCCTGCAGCAGAGGCAGGCATGCTCATAAGCCACTGTTCCAGCCCCTAGGACTGCCTCAGGGACCCAGCACTCTGCTTCAGGACATTTTGAAGACCTTTCTTAGCAAATCTACCTTCTTCCACAGCAACCTTGAAGACCCCATAGGGGTGGCCCTTCCCTCTCCAGATACACCACTCAACACACACACAACGCACACACAGCTCTGTGCTCTGCTGCTCACCCAAGATGCACTCACAGCTGCTAACAGGAGGTTGGCCAGGATGCCCCAGCTCTCAGATCTCATGCTGCACCTCTGACGGTCAGAAGTAAGCTACAGATTTAGGTGGGGCTCCCACCCCGAGCCTCCCACTCTGTCCAGGATGCAGCTCCCTGAAACTGAAGGTTTGTAGCCTCACTGGGAGTAAGACTCTGAAATGGAGAGGCTGCTTGAGTGGGGCCAGGTATTGGCAACCAGTCCAACTGCCCTAATTCAGAGCTGCCCTCAGGCAGACACTCCACCAGATTTCCTGACCTCCAGTGCCAAGTTCTGCCTGCAAACAGCTCTCACCCTCTCCCAGTAAACAGCAGAAACTCTAGGCTGCCCTGCTCTGCCCACCGTTCCTGGGAACAGTGTTCACTGAAGCATGAAGTATGTTAGCAGCTCTCTCACGGTCTTTCTGTCACCCGTTCCAAGAGCCGGAGAGAAACCCTAATGGGTTTCTGGTAGATAAACTGGGGCAATGCCAGGAAAGCCAACTGCCTCCCACAGTTTGGAGCAGGCTGGAGGAGCTGCCCAGCCCAGGCAAGCCCAAGAAGCCCCATGAATGAAGGGGTGTTCTTATCCTGGCCACTAAATGGCTTCTGACCCCTGATATTAATTTCTCTCTGACATCCCCAGGCTGATACCCCCTCAAGCAACAGAGGTGAACCATGTCTGGCTGGGGTTGGAGGAGACAAGAGAAAGAGTAGAAGCTGGGAGGCCAGGAAGTGTTTGGGGTTCTGTAGTCCTACTGGGCAGGCGCCCAAAGGCCCTAAGCACAGGGCCCACGGCAGTCAGGGCACTGGTCTAAGTGTCCCTTCCTGATAGACAAGAGCTGGGAGCTGGCCCACTGAGCCAAAGAAAGCGAACCTGAGTGACTGTCAAGAGAAAAGGCTGGAATGGGCAGTCAGGTACTTGGCGGGTGGTTCGAGCCATTGCTCACAGTGCTGAGGTCCGGGTGATGAATGGGGGATCACTGCCGTGGGGAATAGCCAAGAGACGAGGAAGGAAGGGCAGGGTGGAGGAAAGGCAACTCACGTCAAACTTCCCAGGGTTCTGCTGTAGCTTCACCTTGCCCCCTGACAGGTACTGCCAAGCACGGCCCCGCAGAGACGGTGGGATGCCCTTCTGGCACCGCAGACGGATCTGAAAGCGAAAAAGAGGCATGTGTCAATGCATCCACCAGCAGCTCCGCCAGAGGCTTCATGCCAGCCCAGCCCCTCTGCTGGGGCATGGCAGGCCCTCAGTGAGCACATTCGCAAGGGGAGAAAAGAGGACTTTCCTACTATTGCTACAATGCAGAGCCTGTGATTGGGGGGAGGGGGATGGCTGCAATTAACTGTGCTGCCACCAGGTGATGGCAGAGTCCTCACATCCCCCAGTCCAGTGACAGTGCAGGCATTCCGGAGGGCTACCACAAATTCTGAATCCTTATCACCATTTTTGGAATCAAAATGGAACAGTACAAATTGGAGGCGCCTCATAGGACGTCACCAGGAAGGATCTGCACAGTGCGGTGCACAGCTATAGCCACATGGAGTGTAGCTCATGAAATGCCCAAGAATGTGGCTGGGACACTTTCATGGGGGTGTGTAAGTAGCTGTGTAGCAGGACACAGCCAGTGTAGAGAGGAGAGATCTCAGCACAACTTAGAAGGAAGATCGGAGCTGATCACAATGGCTTCCTCTTGGTTTTGGTCAAGAGTCCCTGTCTCTCTTCTGCTCTCCCCACCCCCAAGCTCCCTCGGTCAGAGGCAGCTAGCCTGGGTGCTAAAACGGCACAGGTCCTCCCCACCACTCAAGGCCCGGAGAGGGGAGAGAGGAAGTGTTTGGGGGGCACATGACTCAGAGCTAGTGCTCAATTCATATCCTAGCTATTCTTTATCAGGAAAAAAAAGGCCTCCCTGCCAAACCCACTCTGAAAAACCATCATATCTTTCACAAATGGGGAAAATGAGGCAAAGAGTGGGAAGAATATCAAGGTCATACTGTCAGAGGCGACCACACCATAGAGGACCCCACCAGCTCCGAGATACACTCCCAGGCTAGAGGGATCCAGGTCCGTGCACCTTTGGCCTCAATGGCCTCTCAGAGACAGGCAGGAGGCAGGCTCACCCTGGGCCTGGGAGTGAATGAGGCTCTGAGGCAGCTTCCCTGATCGCAGTATCAGAATGACAATACCTAGGGTTCTATCAGAATGGGGTGAGGGGATCTTTTGGGTTAGGCTTGGCTCTTGGGAAGCAAGGTCAGCCGCTGGAAACTAGCTCCGGCTCTTCGGGGTTCGGCTGGACTCTTTGAGGCTAGGCTAGTCTCTTAGGGGCTAGGCTCCGGCCTTCAGGACAAGGGTCAGCTCTTCAGGTCTAGACTCGGCTCTTGGGGGTAGGCCCCACCCTTCAGCAGTAGGTTCGGCTGTTTGAGTCTGGGTTTGGCTCTTCATAAAAAAAAAAAAAAAAGAAAAGAAAGAAAGAATGGGGGTGTGAGGGACCATGCCTAGTCGTCTGTCTTCAGTAAACGGAGGGGTGTCCTCTCCACCCCTCCATCCCAGGAGGATGCCTGACACAGGAGCTCCAGGGCCTTGGGATCACACCTACCTTCCCCTCACCTGGAAACCCCCTCAAACAATCCCACTGAAACCCTCAGAGGAGGGAGCACAGAAAGCCGGGCCTTCCTGATGACCAGCACAAACAAGAGAAAACTTTCCAAGGGTCAGAGAGAGTCAAGAACCAGGAAGGAGGCAGAGGCTGAGGGCGGTGGGGGAAGGCAGTCACTGGTCACAGGAGCCAAGCTGAAGCTCTGGGACTGCGTGCAAAGTGGGGGGAGAAAGGGAGCGGCAGGGAACTGCCCAGACTCGGGACAGTTTCCTGCTGCTGTGGGACAAGGGTCTCCTTAAGGAAGCCACTGGTCTGGGCAGGTTTGGACAAAGGGATGTCGTGTAGCCCAGTCACCGGCCTTTAGGCTCCCCTCAGGGTCATCAGCCGAACCAGCCCCCGCCTCATCACAGCCCTGTCGTCTGTGGTCTGCCCCAGAAGCCCCCTGGAACACCTTCAGTTCACTAAGGCTCTCGCTCGGGCTCAGGGCTGGGGAGCGAGATGCAGCATTCACTAGCCTTTCCCGTTCTGGCCTCTGGAATCCTCCTCAGCACAGAGGGAATTTCCACGTGCCTGCCTTAGGGGAGAAGGCAATGGTGGGGATCAGCAAGGATAAAGCAGCAGAGAGTGCTCGGGTGAACAGAAAGCCTAAGGGGCTATCGTTCTCCAAGGCAACTCCTGGGGGAAGGAGGCCGCTGTGACTGCAGCGTGAGCCCACTGCCTGCCTGCTGCCCTCATTGCTCGAGCAGAGCCATAGGGGCAGACAGCATTCTAGCCACAGGGCTGGGCCCCCTCCTGGGGAGTCTGGGTAAGTCCAGGAGAAGTGCTGGGTCTGAACACACTTCCTGAAACAGGTATTGTCCTTCCTGTGCCATGACTTCTGCACCAGAGGGAGAGCCCAAGCCTGCAGTCAGGCAGGCAAACCTCCCAGGGCCAGTGTGGCCACAGCCGAGGGAACAGGCGTAGAGCAGAAGGTTAGGGCCTCTGGGTAGGGGCGGGGGTGAGGCCTCCTGTGGTGGCCCCTGCTGGGCAGGGGTAGCCCTCAACCTCTAACCACAGTGTCAGGGAAGCAAAGGGGAAGAGGAAGTGCTGCTGGGCGCTCAGCTGAGAGGAACTCCCCAAGGCACCCCTCTGGAATCCCCGTTTGCAAGGGAGGCTGCGGCAAGAAGGTGAGAGCCACTGGTCACCACAACAGACAGTGGAGGAGCTGAAGCTCAGGTACGAGCCTGAGGGGTGAGGAGGCAGGAAAACAGACCCCAGAGTCGGGCTTGAGGCAGCTGAGGAGCAGCTGCCTTAAACAATAAAAATAAATAAAAAAAGAGAAGAGAAAGAGAGAAAGACATTCTAATAATAAGCAAAAAATGAGTGTCCTGATGCCCACATAGAACATCAGGAAAGAGCCCAGGCCTCGCTGCACCTCTCTTCCCCGGGCACAGGGCTTAACAGTCACACCTCCTAGGAGAGCCTGGCAACAGTATTGTCATTTCCACGTGACAAGTGAAACTGAGGCTGTAAGGGCAAAGTTACCCAGCTAACCCTGGGCATGAAGAGAGGAAGGCAGTGGGGCTGGGCCCCAGCTAGGCCCTGCAGCTAGCTGTGCCAGCCTAGGCCACACCAGTGTGCCAGCTGATGACAGTGAGCCAGGAGTTCACTCTCTGCACTAGCAACTTATGCAGAGACCCCAGCTGTGAGGCTCTGGACAGACCTCCAGTAGGCCAGGGAGCAACCAGAACCTGCCAATGGGGCCAGAGTACCAACATCTAAGACATCCCTACCAGACAATAGAGTTGGTGCCTAAAGATAGCCTGACTAGACAAGGCCCACTCGCATTTTCGTTTTTATGACTATTAAACTGCGAGGTACTTTTCTTTCTGCTTTGGCCAGGAGGCAAAAGGAAACTCATCAAATTAATCTAGAGGGTGAAGAAATCCCCTTACTGTGGTGATAAAGAGCATAGGCACTAACATTATTAGATACTGGGGTTCAAATTTTAATTCTGCGGGTCATCTGTAAAGTGGGGATATCACTACTACCAACCTCACTGGCCTGTTGTAAGGATTATCCAAGTCAGCTGTCCAGCACGCAGCCATGCTCACCGCATTAGCCGTTAACAGCATCATAAAGTCCTCCCCGGGGGTAAGCAGCAGTAAGGGCCCCCCAGGGGGGGTGGAGGAGAGCTGCCTGTAAGGGCTTTTAGCTGAGAGCGGCTTTGAAGTCTGATTCCAGGACAAACTGCATGAGTCTGAAGTCACGTGGGAGGACCAAGTGAAGGCTGGGCGTGCCCTCCAAACAGCTTCTGTTCCCACTGCAGAGCTTAGATGGGGCACACCTAAGGCAACTGGCACCTGGAGAAGCCCCTGCTCCTCTAAGCTAACACAGTTCCTCCCTCTCCCTCCCCCTGCTACCACCTCCCAGCCCAAGGCCCAGGGCTGGGCCCCTCACCTTTTTGTGCTTCTTAGCCATCCACTTGTCCCAGTTGTTGAGCATGTCCAGCCACTTGGACTCCCTCTGCCTCAGCACCTCCAGAGGGACTTCCTCCAGCCTGTGGAGCAGAGGGCAGGGCCGATCAGAGGTGCCAAGAGAAGCAAAGGCCTTGGCGTAGGCCCCGGGCAGCAGTCGTCAGTCCTCTTCCTCCCCCTCCCCTCCATCCCCGCCGTTCCCTTTGGGGCTGCTAACTCATGAACGCCCTGACACAGATGGGAGGAAACTCGGCCCCCTCCCTGAAAGGCATAGTCCAGAGAGACATCAGGTTCAAGTGCCTACTCCCCCAATGTGTCAAGGGGCCAAGGGTCACCATGTCTTTCTGAGGCAGAGGCCGGAGTGCCTGCATTTGTGCACCAGAGCAAAACTTTCCTGTTCTAGATCTGTCTTGATAAATCAGCCTCTTCAGAGGGCCTGCTTGCAAAGTGCAGAGGTGGATGAAAAAACGAGTCTAACAAGTACAGAAATAACATGCTCACCTCTTCACTCCGGCAAAACTAGTTACTCATAGTTTCCCCAATTACACCCTGGCCCTTTCCCACCTTCCAAACTTTGCTCATGCCAGTCCTTTTGCTGGAACACTCTCTAAGTTGTCTCTACCAATCAAAATCCTACACACACATCAAAGCCCCAACAAATACCACCTGTATTTGTACATCCATCTACCAACTGAGCGGCTATCACAGCTGTGTGGGCATTGTTCTAGGGCCAGGGCATCTGGGCAGGCTGTGGGGAAGCAGTCATGTGACCAGACCAAAATCCTGGACCTCATGGCATTAACTTTCTACTGACACTGAATGCTCAGTGGGGAAAAGACCTTAGCATGGAGATCCGCCCTATGCAGGCAGACATGCCCCAAAGCAGCTGAGGGAGGCTAGGGTAGGAATCCCTGGCTTGGCCAGAAGGTACTTCGAGTGAGTGGGTTTCCTCTAAGGAGTGAGTCTCCAGGATGGGCAAAGAGAAAGAGGAGACTAGCATTTGCAGTCTGAGTATTTACATATGTTTTACTACTTAACCTATAGGGCAATATCAGTAAAACAACAACAAAATGTATATGTGTACCGTGCACCTCTATGCACTCTCTCTTATTAAAGCTATTTTTAAAGTGGTGGCTTATGGAGCTTGTAAATTTCTTTTGTGCTTCCTTTTTTTTTTTCCAATTTAAAAAGTACTTGACAATAGTGAGAGGCAAGATATCCAGAGAGGGCGTCTTGCTCAGAGTGAAACAGCAAATCAGTGGAAAAACCCAGACTCAAACCCAAGTCAGCTCCTAGCCAAGAGCCTGCACTCGGTCCTGCCTGACCTCCCAGAAAGGAGGGGCGAAGGCAGGAGGCGCCTGGGAGGAGGCTCGCAGGAACAGGACATGGGGAGGCCGGGCTTGGCCCAGGCCTCGGTTCTGATTCTCTCTCTGCCGGAAGGAAATGCTCTGCTGACTTTTACTGGTTAGAAGAGCGGAGGGAGGAGCCCTGGCACAGCCGAGGCCTCTGAGACACAAAAGGGCAGGTCCTCTACTTCAGTGCGAGTTTTCTGGGGAACTGCACACGCCTGAGAATAGCCTCAGCGCTGAACAGCTGAGGAAGGACGACAGCGATGGCCAACCTGGCCCCCCAGGCACACCGACACGGGCCATCCCGGTCTTAAACGTCTGGCCCTCTCACCGCCTAGAGGCAAAATCAAGGCCTGAGGACACTCCCCTTCCCTCCTTGAGAAAAGCAGAGACCACGCCTTCAGATCAGGTCCTGCAACCCCCAAACACCGAGGAAGCGAAAACCAAAGAACCATGCATCACAAGCTATCCTGCCTTTCACCGCCTACAAACACTCACCTATACAAGTGAGAGGAGGAGCCTTCTAGTTCCCTGAATGAAAGGGAATGTCCACACTGAGTCAGTCAGCAAGAAGCTCTGGCAGTCACGGATGTGGATCATATCTGGTCAAGTCCCCCCAGTTAGCAAATGAGGAAACAGGCTCAGAGAGGGCAAGGCTTTCCCCTGAGATTACCAGTTTTCAAAGAATTCCCACGTAATGCATGCCTATTTGACACCTCGGGTCTGTCTTTGTTGATAAGCTCTGATTGCAGGGCCTCAGAAATATCCACTTTTCCCAAGTGCAGACACACAGGGGAACTGCAGACACACAGGGCAACACATTCAAGTTCTGTGCTTTTTTCTGTAACTGATGACAGATAACAGCTTTGGCAGTTTCAAAGCCCGAACATCAGACCGCAAACCGGAATTTCAATGGGGTACAAAACAAGCGACCGTATTTCCTGAATGCTAAAACACTACTGATTTTCAGCTATACCATTGATTTGGCAAGACTTTCTCAGGAATATAAAAAAAAACCCACCACTTCTTTAAATGTACATGTCAATGGGAAGATTCTGTTTTGATTTTTAAAAGCTTAAACTGAAAAAATTTTGAGAAAATGGTCATTTGAATGCCTTCTCCAACAGCAGAGGAGTGTAACCCATCTGGAGGTGGTGAGAAGGAAGACACTGCAGGTCTGGTTGTACCCAGCACTCAGCACATCGCATGCTCTCTAACTGCAGGTAGACTTCCCTTTATGCACAGGATGTACCCTGAAGAGTTGTAGGCTATCTACTTATTGGAAGTCAGAAGAGTCATGTATCTTTCAGTCTAATCAGTGAGGACCTCAAAAGGCATCTGATCAAACTGCTATCTGATATAGGAATCCCTTCCACAGCAGGCAAGTCCCTTGCCCTCTCTGAGCCTCAGTTTCCCTATATGACTAGGTGGTCTGCATTGTGAACTGAGCCTCGAAAGATGCCCAGAAAGGAGCCATGAGATGAAGTTGAGGCTAGGCTGTCCCTGAAAACAGCATGATGGGATAGAGGCTTGAGATGGCTTCTCCTGATAGTGGGAGGAGAACATAAGCCAATTTCTAGTGACCAGGAAGCTGACCGTGTGGCCAGTTTAAGGGACCAAATGGTCCATGGGGATGCTTCTGGTCTGAGGGCCTCACTCACCCTTCAGAAAACCCCTCTTACCCTTAAGGTGGTATGAAGGACTCTGCAACCAGAAGAACCTAATGAGAACAGTTTCTAGCAGCCCAGGTTAAAAACTGGGGTCCTAGTCGGTTTGGCTCAGTGGATAGGGCATCCGCCTGTGGACCAAAGGGTCCCAGGTTCGATTCCGGTCAAGGGCACGTATCTCAGTTGCAGGCTCCTCCCCAGCCTGGGCCCTGGTCCAGGCTCGTGCAGGAAGCAACCAATCAATGTCTCTCTCCATCGATATTTCTCTCTGTCTTTCCCTCTCTCTTCTACTCTCTAAAAATCAATGGAAGAATATCATCGGGAGAGTATTAAGAAATAATAACAAAATAAAATGAGCAACTCATTACCGGAATTTGCTCATCTTGTTCTGTACTATCCCTCCCTAACAGGACTGGGTCTTAACTTCTGTAACTCGCACCATGCACCTCACAGGTGTTCATCAGATGCCTGCCTGGTTTTCGCCATGACATCATTACTTTCATCTGCATTGCATTCGGGGCTACAAGCCACTGCTGCCTACAGAAATTTTATTTGTGCCCCGAATAGTCCAGTGAGCTGGATCCCTCCTGGATTAATTACTATGTCCATTTGGCCCAGGAGAAACTTGACCCAATCAGAGAGGTTGTATGACTTGAGCAAAGTCACAAAGCTAATAAATGGCAGGAACCAGGACTTCCCCTCTGTCACAGTGACTCGTGCACTGCTTCTGACTCCCTGGGGAAGGCTATGGGGAAAGAGGCTGTTCTAAAGACGCGGCCAGAGCTCTATCTCTGGGCCTCAAGTCCCTAGAGACAGTCTAACCCCCTCCTCCTGACCGCCCCAGGGAGTGCTGTGCCCATATCTAGCAATGCTCCGTGAGCTCGATATGATGAATGGATGCAGCTTCAAGCAGAACCTCCGTTGGAGACAGCAAGCCTGGGCAATGTTCCATTTGCCAGCCACCCTCTCCTGAGGGAGAGCAGCATGGAGGAGGCAAAGAAGGGCTGCCAGGTAGCCCCTGGTCCCAGGTTCTGTTGGGCTCTTGGGCTGAGCTAGGCTTAGCTGTGCTGTGCTACGCCATGGCCCAACGTGTCAGTGGCATACCACTGGCTCCATATGCTCTGTAGGCTCTCAGTTCCCTAGCCTTCTCCCTAAACCCAGAGGTTGGGGGCTTCTAGGAGCTCAGAGGAACAAGACTGTTTCCCAAGGCTACTGAGACCGCAGGTTGGGGTTCCTGCTCCCCTGGTCCTTCTAGCTGTCTGCTTTCTGCCCAGGTATACCACAGCCCTTCTGGTTGGCAGGCTCAGTCAGGTACGGTCCCTGGGCCCATGACCCCTTTATGTGACGGTGGCAGATAAACCTTGGTCCCAAGGAACCAATCTAAGCCCCTCCTCCAAGCTTTACTCTACAAACCAGCCCAAAGGAAGAAAAACACAGCCCATCAGAAAGCCAGGGTCACAGGCCAAATGGGGTGTTGGGGAGAGTGAACAGAGTGGGGACTTTGAAGCCTACCAACCTAGGGTTCCAATGCAGATCCTCCACCTGAGACCATGGGCAAAATACTTGCCCTCCTTAAGGCTTACCTTTATCTTTAAGTGGGACCATTACACACACCTCACATTTTATAGGGCTTCGATGAGGAATAAATATATAAGGGCCCAGCCTGCTGGGTGGCCAGCAAATAGTATTTGCAGCTTACCTCACACCTTCACATCCCTTTCTCATCTGACTGGTCCATATACACAGGCACATACACATGCGGCAGGGCAGGATTCTCCTTATTTTACACAAAAGCAATTGAGGTCCCAAGAAAGTAAGGAATGTATTTAATGACACACACGCTGTAATTCCTGGCTCCTGATCCCAGCCGCACCACTTTATGGCCGTGTAAAGGAGCAGACAGCCCCACTCTCTGAGCCTCGGGCTCCCCTCTGTAATGTGGAGACAATGCCACCTTCTCGAAGGGCAGTGGTAGAGATCACACCAGACAGTAGAGCTGACACATTTCCAGCACTGGCTGTCTCCTGGGTCTGCCAACCACTCCACAGGCACACAATTCCCCACGGAAGTAGCTTCCATTATCGCCATGTAATCGACAAAAACACTAACGCTCAGCATGGGTGAGTAATGTGCCCAAGGTTACACAACCTAGAAGCGAAAGCTGCCACTTGGTCACTAACTGTCCAATAAAGACAGAGTGCCCACATACAACACCACTTCAATACCTGTCACATTTCCTTCCCTTCTCCTGCCCTACCCAGTAGAGAGCCGCTTCCCTCTGTGCAGAGAAGGGCAGGAGTGAGCAACATGAAAATGCGGAACACTGAGAGAGAACATGGACAATCACAGATCCAGGGAACAACAGGGTCCCCTCTCCCACCAGGAGCTAGAAGAAGAAGTGAGGATAAACAAAGAGCTGACCTACTTTGCACACTGGGCAACAACTTCTGGAGTTCATTAACCTAAGAGCTGGTAATGACTGAAGTATAAATGGCTTTTATGCCAGGGCCATAATAACCGATCACAGGAAACTGGAATGCAAGAGAGGGTGTGTTGGTGGTATGCAAATGGCCACAGGGAGGGCTGAGGCCTGTAGCCCAGAGGATAAGCGATCTGCCCAAGGCCACACTGTGAGTCAGTATGGAGAAGGAAGACGGTGGGTAGCAGCCTGGTGCTCCCTTCTGTGGTCTGGCAGCCCCTGACTTGGAGGCAGGGCAGTGTCCAGGCTCCCTGTCTGGGTGAGAGAGTCTGGCTTGCTTCTTCCCACCCCCCCCGCCCCCACC